ACAAAGAGAGGCCAAGATCTTTTCAGTACAATGTGACATTAACAGAGACATCTTAATGAGAATAACTGGAAACAGGAGAAACAAGAATGCATTATTCAAGTATTCAATATTGAGATTCTCAGTATTGAGAAACATTATTCAAAGGAATGGCTCATCAATCTGTTCTACCAAGGGAGATTGTAGTAGGCTGAATAATGCTTCTGCCCCAAAAGAAGAAAAATAGACCCCCGAAATGAAAGCTATCTAAATGTTGATCTCTAGAACCTGTAAATTTTGCTTTATACAAGGAATAAGAAAGTTGCAAATTGAAACCTTAAGTGAAATCAGAAGAGGAGAAGGCACTATGACCACCAAGCAGAGGTTGGAGTGGTGCAGCCGTGCCATAAGGAATGTGGCCACTGGAAGCAGCAGAGTCTAGGAATGGGTTTCTTCCCAGAGCCTCCCTAGAGAGTATAGCGTGGCAATACTTTGATCAGACCAGTGAAGGTGTATGTGGATTTTAGGACTAGAACTTTGAGAGAATAAGCTTCTGTTGTAAACTGCTGTTCATGGTAATTTGGCACAGCTGCCATAGCCAACTATTTGGTAACAGGAGATGAGGTCGATTTAGTCACTTTCCTCATTGTTGGGATAAAATACCTGATACAACTTAAGGAAGGAGAGGTTTATTTTGATTCACAGTTTAGTCCGAAGTTGGCTGGCTCCAAGGCAGGACAGCATGATGGAAGGGCATGGAAGAGGAAAAGCTGCTCACAAGCAAAATGTCAAGGGAGGAACTGGGGAGGGAGACTAATCATTCAGGCCACGCTTCCAATGATTCAGCTCTTCTGACCAGACCCTGACTCCTAACAGCAAGTCAAGTATGAGCCCCCATGATGCAGTCATATCCCCAAGCCTCATCAATGAGCATTTGAAGCTCATGGATGTCTAGATATAAATTGTAACACCCCCCCAAAAGACTCATTCACATCCTCTTATGCAAAATGAATTTATCCCATCTCTAAAGGTTACCAAAGTCCTAACAGTTCCTGCAGTGCTAAAAAGTGCAAAACCAAAGCGTTCTCTGAGATGTGAAGGAACTTTTAGCTATGTGCCCCACAGCTGTAAGCTATGAAAAGACAAAGTTAAACATTGCCAATATACAATGGCTCGGGAAAAATGTTCCCATTCCAAAAGGAAGCAATAGGTGGGTAGAAAGCAGTGAGATAAAAGGATGCCTGAAATCCAGCAGGGAAAACAATAAATCCTGTAGGTCCATGTCTAGCGCCCAGGGTAAGCTGTGGCCAGATGTGAATGCCAGAAGGCTTGGCTAGCCCCACCTCTGTGGCATCGCCTGTGATTGTAGCTCTCATGTCCTTGTTCTTGGGTTAACTTTGCTTACTCCTTGTGGGATTTTCTATGCTTCTAGAATTTCCAATTTTCTGGGATTTCCACTACACTTTTAGTTTCACTCTAACAGATTCATACAATGCCCTCTTAGAAGCACACTCTCTGGCCTTCTAGGCTTTCTTCTGAGGTCTAGGTAGAAGCCTTCCTGATCCCACATTCTGCATGCTTGTAAAACCAGCAGCACATGGATGACCCCAGGGTCTTCTGCCAGCTCTAGTAGTAGCTAGACCCCCTTGAATGGTGGCTGCAGAGGTTGAGCACTAGGAACTGAATCCCTGGAGAACCAATTCTGTAGGTGGCCCTTCTTGAGCAGGATGCCCCTAGGCTATTTTCTTAAATTCCCTTGGGCTTCTGGAGAGAGGGATCTTGCTGATTCCTTACATATCCTCAAGCCATTTTTCCTACTTTCCTGTTCCAAGTAACTTGGTTTTTTAATGCTAATTTTGCAGTGACCAAGCTGTCCTCTGCTCTTTGCTGGTGCCAACTTTATAGGAGGTTCCTTTTTGGTGAAACTAAAAAAAAAAAAAAAAGTATGGCCTCAATATGCATCCTACAAATGACTCTAGTTTATCATTCTTTATGGCTGAGTAGTACTCCATTTTATAGAAAAACCACATCTCTCTCTTTTTTTTTTTGTACCAGGGATTGAACTCGGGTCCTTGCGCTTGCAAGACAGGCGGCAGAACCACTGAGCTAAATCCCCGGCCCGAAAAACCACATCTTCTTTATCCAGTCTCCAACTGATGGGCAATTGTGCTGTTTCCAAATTTTAGCTATTACAAACTGTGCCGCTATAAACATGGGTGTGCATATATCACTGTGGTATGATTCTTTTAATTCTTTTGGAAAGATACCTAGCAAAGGGATAGCTGGGTCAAATGCAACCTCTAGTCCTAGTTCTTTGAGGTATCTCCATATCGATTTCCACAGTGGTTGCACCAGTCTGTACTCTCATCAACAATGGAGAAGGGTTCCTTTCTCCTGAATAGTTTCTCTGGTGTGAAAAACTAAAAGTGTAAATAAGATCCAAATTGTATAACTGACAATGTGAAATAGGAAGAAAAGGGCTAAAGGTGTAGGGGAAGTGGGAAGGGTAGGGGAAAGGAAATAAGGGAAAAGAAAAACATGAGAAAAGGAAAAAATGGAAACAAAGTCTTTGTAAATAGGGGAGGGGGGAGGGGGTAAAGGGAGGGCAGGGGTATGGGGAAAAAATGAGAGCCAAGATCTGTCATGTACTACAAGACCCCAATGATAAACGTAACTGTACTGTATACTTAAAAAGTACCAATAAACTCAATGAAAAAAAATTAAAATCACCAGCCTGTGCCTTTCACTCTTGATTCTCAATGTAAAGCTGGCTAAAGGATTTCAATACTACCTATGCCATAGCCTGAATGTTGGCTTGCCTTGAAAACTCCTCTACCAAATTAATTAGTTTGCTGCCCTTAATCAGTCTCTCAGAAAGTCTCAGAACACAAGCAGAATGTTAAAAATTTTATGCCAGTGCATGACACACATGACCTTGAGTCTGACTGTAATGGAGTCCTTACTGTGAACCTCCTGAGCTGGTCCTTACTCTGCCTTTTACTAAGCATCCTGGTCTTCTGAACTCTGACCAGAGTCCCATAGAGCTCTGCTTTTAGCATTCTTTGGTTGCTTCTTCAGGTGGCATCTTGAAACCTTTCCAAATGTTTCCTGCAAGTCAGTTCCAAAGACTTCTGAAACACAAGGTCAGGTAGTGTCACAGCAGTGACCCTACTTCTTTGATACCAAAATCATAGTCGCTTTTCTTGTTCCTGAGACACAGGACCTGATTCTCCCAACTTAAAGGAGGAGAAGTTTATTTTGGCTCACATTTCAGTCCATGGACTGCCGGCCTGGCAGAAAACTGCTTATGTCATCATGGCTGAGAAGACGGAAGGGAGGAGTGGGGAAGGGAGGAAACCCTTCCAGGCTGTGCCCGCAGTGACCGCCTCCTGAACAGACCCAGCCTCCTAACAGCAAGTCAGCTATGGGCCCCCGTGATCCAGTCATCTTCCAGAAGCCCTCCTTCTGAGCACATGAACCTCTTGGGGCCACCTAGACCTCAACCGTAACAGTGTGCTGCTGTACCAAATACCTCATGTAGGCAGTTGGCTCTCCAGTTGGGCAGTGAGTGGTGGCTGGGAGAATTTTGAGATGCTTGGTAGAAAAGCCTAGATTGTGTTGAGCAGACTGTTGATAAAAGTAGGGCTGTAAGAGACTCTGCTAGTGAGAGTTCAGGAAACAGGGAAGAGGACGGTAAAAATACCTGAGTGGTCTCAGTAGTAAGTAAATTGTCACCAGTAGAATGTTCTTAGAAGTGGTAAAAGCAGTCCTAGTGAGGGCTCGGTAGGAAATGAGGGATTTGTCATCGGAAATCGGAGAAAGGTGATCCTTGTTCTGTTGCGGCGAGAAGCTTAGCAGAATTGTGTACTGTGGTCATGTGGAAAGCAAAACTGATCAGTGATGAACTTGAGTGTTTAGCTGAGGAGATTTTGAATGAGTGTTGAAGATATGGCCTAATTTGTCCTTACTGCTTATAGTAAAAATGAGAAGAGACAGCGAGATCCAGGGAAAAACTGTTAAACAAAAAGCAAGAACTGATACAAAAAACAGAAACCTAGAACTGATGATTTGGGAAACTCACAGCTTATGCAGATTGAAAAGATGGCAGGAGATTTGTTGTTAGGAAAGTGTGCTGCGGGGAAAGGGCCCGGAGTAGCAGCCTTTCCATGTCAGACTTCCTGTGGTATTACAGCTTGATTCTTCGGCTCTTAGGTGCCATGAGCACAGTAAGGGAGGCTGAGCAACATGGTTGAAACAGACTAGCAGCGCACGGGGCATTAACTGGAGTAAATGGGTGTTCAGCCGAGAATATCTCTGGGCAGACACAGACTTTCTCTCATTCTTGAAAGGCTCCTGCAGTGTTTCATCTAGGTTCCTCTCAATTCCTCATTACTCAAAATAATGTTCTGTGACCAGAGGAGGTGATTGTGAGAACTTCACAGCTCCAAAGGCCAGCGATTAGTAGACTGGTCTTAATTTGGCAGTTGTAATAAATGGTCTATTTTAATCATCTGTGATTGGTGGCAGGCAGCTGTGGTGGGTGTGAACTGAGTCTGGGAGAGCTGCTTACAAAACTTGTGCTACTTAGTAGTTGAATAATTAGCTATTACACCTTCTGTTATGATTTACAGTGAGAATTAGGTCAGTGGGAACGATTCTCTTCTGTTTTGAGACACTTGGGGCAGTTTCCTAGTGCTGTTTTGCTCTTTCTTCGACTCACATCTGTCAGTTGCTTGGAGCTTTTCACGCCTGTGATGGACAGGGAAGTGTGCTGTGCCCTTTGTGAGTGGATGGCACTGAGGACGACGGTCACAGCCCGGGAGCGTGCTGCTATCCTTCCCACCAGGCTCTTGGTGTCTCCTCTGCGCCTGGTTGATGGAGCTGTGGTTGGTGACTGCTTGGTCTGATGGGCTGAGGTTGGGATGTGGGTCACAGAATCAGGCTGCAGCCCTGGGGGTGGTGGGGGCCGCACGGTTGTCCCATGCAAACTGGCTCTAACAAAGCTTGTCTCTGGTTGTTTGCAGAAAGATTACCACTTCGAGTACACGGAATGCGACAGCAGTGGCTCCAGGTGGAGGGTCGCCATCCCCAACTCTGCCGTGGACTGCTCCGGCCTGCCCGACCCCGTGAGAGGCAAAGAGTGCAGTATGTCTCCGCTTTCCCTGGTTACACTGTAATGTCTTTGTGCCAGCCCTGTGAGTGCGAGAGTCCTGGCAGGAGTGAGGGTACCTGTTGATGTCTAGCAGAATCCTTCTCAGTACCTGCTGTTCCTGGGTCTAATGTCTGAGCAATAACGCAAAGAGAGTGTTAAAAATCTGTTTATTCTCTTGTCTGAAATGGTGGAGGGCAGAGTGGAAGAATTTCTCTTTAATGGTTTCTTCTAAATTAAAAGCTTTTATTAACTGTATGAAACAAGCAGCACTTGCGTTTGACATCTTAACCACTTCCAGTGCATGGTTCAGTGGTACCAAGGGCATTCGTATTGTTTTGCTGCCTTCGCTGACAGCCATCCACGGCACTCATCTCACAGTGGTTTCTTTCTCTTTTTTATTTTTTGTTATAGAAATACCTTGATGTAATTTTTAAAAAGTGAAGAGAGGTTGTAGAGTTGCTGAATAGCATATTCAACAACTTGCCTTTTGGCAGTTAAGGAGCTTCAGAGTGCAGCATTATGAAGGAATGCAGAAATAGGTCATACAATTTATTTTCATTTGTAAACTCTACCTTTTGGAAAACTCTTACGTTGTCGAGTCAGGGGTTTCTGCTGTAAAGTAATCTAGAGGTGGCCTGCACTTCGGAGCTAGAAGTGACAGAGTTTGTTTTGATTTTCCTGCGGTCCTTCAAATGGTACTCCCAAGAGCTTGGTTCTTCTGATTGCAAATGAAAAAGTAAGTGAGCAAATTATTAAATGGAGAACTTATTCCTTCTCTTTCATAGACTGTGTCTGTGATTAGCCGGAGACTTAGCATAGATGAAGGGTTTGCTGAGAAAAGGGAGAAGGCAGAAGTTTTATGAGAACGTCTAGGGAAATGCCATTATTCTTTGGTGGAATTAGAGAGAACCCGAGAGCCCTGCAGCCTGAGAACATCCAGCATGTGCCTTCACTGACAGCATGGTCACAGGACGAAGGCGACTCAAGGGCCAGGTCTGGGCCGCCGCCTTGCACAGGAAAGGTGGGTTCTTGGAGGGTTGTGGTTAAAAGGGCAGTGCAGCCTGACTGTATTTGTGCAGTCACTTTGTTACATTCCCTTCAGTCATCTTCCTGCCAGTCCTTCCTGACAGGTGGTGCTACCTGTGTTCTTGTGTTTGAAGCAAGGTCTCACTAGGTAGCCCTGCTGGCCTGCAGCTCCTGATGCTTCCTGGGCCTCCGTCCCAATTGCTGTGATTCGGGCGTGTGTCAACGTGCCCAGTGTGCCTGAGTTTTTTACCCATGGCTGCTCCCTGGTTTCCCTGAAACAGGCAGATCTGAATTCTCACTTCACACCTGGGTGGTGTGGCGGACTGGCCTGTACTGGCTCTGAGACCCAGTTGTTAGTTTGAAATGGGCCATATGGGAGGATTTCCATGGTGGGAACTGGCAGACGGACTTCTTTCCTCGAGAGCCAGACCCTAAATACTTAGCAGTAGACCAGGGCTTCCATGCTTTGGCCAAGGGATTGAAATTCTGTTGCAAGATTATTGCCTGAATAGAGACCATTTCTATCTGAATGTTGCCAGAGACCTTTTTTCACTCATTATTTACTGAAATGTTTCCTGATGACATTTTGAATTTGACCTTCCAGCAAGATGTTTCCTAAAAACTCTTGATTAAAATCAAGCCACTTTTAGTTATTACTGATACTTACTTTAAAACAATATGTATGTGATTGTTGGGACATTGTTTAGCTTTGCACTTTGAATGAAATCTTGAGTTCCCAAATATGCATAAAATATTTGCTCTGGTAGGTGTTAGTCTGGCCTTAGATCTGTGATTTTTTCTTTGTTATGGCAAAGCCAAGTCATTATAGAGCTCTCAGATGATATGCTGTGGATCTAATTCACTTAGAAGAAGTTAAGACATAATGTTACCTGCCGCCTGCCCTGTGGCCGGTCATTCTGAATGTTCTTCAAGGGTGTGGACTGTCTGTGCTAACTACAGCTACCAGTGCTCAGGTTCTGAGTCTGCTCGAAGCTGGTGTCACTATCGCAGGCCACTCCTACCAGGTTCATTCCCTTTCTGTGAAATGTTTAGAACCAGTGGGTTTTGGAGTTGTTCTGACTTTGGACTATTTGACTATACATAACAAGAGATCTCAGAGATGAGACTCAAGTTTAAACCCCAAATTCATTTATGTTCTACATATATTTTAGGTATCTCTCCCAAAGGTAATTTTATACAGTATTTTAAATAATTTGGCATATGAAAAAAAGGATGTAGAATTTTTCACTTCGGTGTCATGCTGACAGAAAAATGTCATGTTTGGAGCATTTTGTATTTTTGGGTTGAGGATGCTCTACCTGGAACAGTATTTACTGTACTGAGGAGAAGACTCAGACCTCAAGGGTGAAGTAACTGGCCTTCGGCCACAGCCTCCAAGTGGCCGATTGTGGCTTAGGCGTGTGTATCCCCGGAATTAGTGCCTGACCCAGGCTCGCCTGCCTCCTGCAGATGCAGTCAGGCTGCTGCAGGTCCCCGAGGTGCCACACGTGAGCAAAGAGTGTTTAGGCAGTGGCTGTGGAGGGTGTGGTTTCTTGGAGTCCTTATTGCTGCAGAGAGAATCAAACCCAGAGCTTGGCCTTTGCTGAAATTGTCTACACATGTAATTCTTTAACATGTAATTGAATAGAAAAAGGCAGGAGAGGAGGTCTTTCCTAAGACGTTATAGGATTGTTTATGCAGCAGTTGTCAATTTTTTGAGAAAATCGACAGCTAAATATATATTTGTTTTTCTTAGAAAGATCCTATAAAACCTGGCTACAGGTTTCTGTGGAGTGAGGTGAGTGAGGTCAGTGTTTGTGGGGCTGGCGCAGTGGGCTTCCTGTGAGCCTGAGTGGACAGGGCTGAGGGAAGGGCGTGGTGGGGCCTCTGGTGCTGACAGGATCCCAAGTGTTCCACCCCCTCTTAGGAGAACCCCTCAGTCTCTCTTGGCTGCTCTGGGCAGGCTCTGGGAGGAACGCACGCCTCTCATTCTGCCAGCGCCGGGCTCACCTGCTGCTCCTCAGGCCTGGTGCCAAGCACGGGTCACCAGTGGGCTCCTCCCCCAGGGTCCTTCAGGCAGCACCATTGTTGAACTGTTGCTCCACCCTCATCTCAGAATGAGGGCAAGGAGCCCCCGATCTCACCTCCTCCCTTCCTGCTTTGTCCTGGAAGCACAGGGGTCTCTAAGTCTCTCCTTGACCTTGGGCTTTGATATTCTTCTGTCCTCAGGAGTGGTGGTCCTCTTGAAGTGGTCTCCAGGTGGCCTCCTCTTATGTTTTTTTCTTCCTCATTTATTTTTATGCTTTATTTGGGGAACATAGGTATTTTATTTTTACTCTCTCAAACATTTCTGAGTCCATGACTTCAAATAATGCACCTTTAATCCATTATTTTATGACTGAGCATGGCCATTTTATATATAATGCTATTCGGTGTGTAATCAAATCAGACATCATCTTGGGTACTTTGCTTAATGATCTAGTATGTCATTGTTCATAATATGTGAAGAATACATATGAAGTAATATGCATATGAGCAAATGCACATGTAAATGTACACAGACACGTGTAGATGTATGTGGATAACGTGTGTAGTTAGCTTTCATACTATATAAGGTCTAGTGAAGTAATGTGGTTTTAATGACACATGACTTTCACAGCACCAAACATGCATATGTTTCAATCTTAATCTTTGGTTGAATACTTTTAATATTCAGTTTTCTTGGGTCAATAAGTGCTACATTCAGATCAGTTTTTTAAAAAAAAATTCCTTGGGTACAGATTCTTTTTTTCCCGTTAAATCTATTGTTATAATCCATATTTAATGACTTTAAGGAATAAGCTGTTATATCAGAAAAAATAGACTTTAAATAAAAAATTGTTGCAAGAAACAAGGAAAGTCATCATGTCATGATAAAAGGGCCAATTCAACAGGAATATAGGATAATTATAAATGCACCCGACATCTGAGCGCCTAAGTATATAAATCAGACATTGACAAATCTGAGAGGAGGTGTGGACAGCGGTGCATGGTGATAGGGTGGACAGATCATCCAGAAAGAAAAGTCCGTAAACAGCAGTCTGAACAACCCTGGGGCCAGCACATCTTCTGGAACAGCCCCCAGCAGCAGCAGGACACACGTGTACAGCACACGGCGACCATTCTTGGGATGAGCCGCACAGGCTCACAAGGCAAGGCTTGACGAGTAGGAGAAGGCTGCAGACTTTCCAGGTCCCTCTTCCGAAGACAGCAGAGGGAGACAGCAAATCGTAGAACAGGGAGGGGCTGTGCGCTGTGGCACCTGTGAGGCTGGGCCACATCAGTCAGACCCCGGGCCCGAGGTGCCAGTGCCGCCCCGCCCACGCCCATCAGCCCAGCTGCTTAGGACAGAGGAGTGGAGCATGGGAAAGAGGCGCTGCTGCAGCTGACTCTCCGCAGAGTCCACTGAGAACTGGTCCACGTAGCTCGGTCTGTGTGGCTCGCAGTGAGATGTTGTAAAAGGCATCAAGGGGCCCTGCTAGGAATATCCCGTCAGGTGCCAGGGTGCTTTGCCATCCATCGGTAGCTCAGGCAGAAGTCTCAGCTGCTCCTGGAGGGCCTGGACACGGCATGGGACGTCTGGAGCCTACGCCCTGCGTCTGGGCATCAGGGCTCTTCCTGTTCAGTGACCAGCGGCACCCAGGCGGCTCGCACGCCTTCAAGCAGGCTAAGCCGGATGAAGAGGGTGTTCGCTGCACGTCCCGTGCTGAGGCTGGTGACGAGGCTGACGAGGCCGTCACAGTCTTTTCTGCTGGAGATGCAGCCGGGGCTTCCCCGGAGGGGCTTGGCTGGTTCCTGGGACCTTTCTAACGCCGTCACATGGATGGCTCCTCCCGACCATGACTGTGACCGCCCCATGTGCACACATGGCAACCAGGGTGGGTCACGGCCTGGTCAGCCTCAGTTCTGCCCCGGAGTACTGTGCGTC